GTCTCCGCTGAGCTCGGATCTCAGCGAAGGACTTGCTCGGCTTCCCTGATTTCTCCTCCTTTGCCTTCGTCTTTGCCGGTGCCGGTGCCGGTGCGGCGTCGAAGGTCGGGATAGATGAGGATTCCTCCGCCATGATATAATCTTGAGCGCGGGTGAGGAACTCCTGGTAGGTGGTTGGTTTGTTCTGGCACAGGGACCACCTGAACAAGGTCTTCGGCCTGAGGCCGCCCTGGGCCGTAATGAGCAAGGCGTCGGGGTGGCACTGTTCCATGTTTTGGACCCGGTCATTGAACCGAGCAATGTAATCCTTGAGGCTTTCATTCTCGCCCTGCACGATGTTTGAGATGGACTCCTTGGGGGCGAGGTTGACCTGCGACCCGATGAAGTGAGATCGGAACGCCGACCTCAGCTGTGCCCAGGTTGAGATGGAGCGGGGGTAAAGGGAATGATACCACCTCTGTGCTTTGGGCCCCAGCGTCAGGGAGAACATGCGACAGCGCAGGGCGTCGGAGGCGCCGTGCAGGTCCATCCAGGAGGTGTAGAGGCCGAGGTGGGAGTCGGGGTCCGAGCTCCCGTCATAGAGGCCGAGTTGCGGTATTTGTATTCCCTTCGGGACGGCTTCTTGCAAGATGTCGAGGGAGAGGGGTGAGGCGTTGTCCGCGACCCGAGGAGTCGGCCGCGTACGAGTTTGTTGGTGGGCCGGGAGTGAGAACTCACTTCCGGTGGGCTGCCGACCCTCGAGCTCGGCGATCCTGCGTTTGAGGGCCGCGACTTCCTCGGTGTCGTGGCCGATGGCTTTGCCTCGTCTGATCACCTCCCGGAGATCGTGGTTGGCGTGACTCTTGTCTCCCAAGCGTTGGTGGACGGAGCGACGAATGACCGGGAGGCTTCGCTCTGGCCGGCTCTCCCCTGTCTGCTCTGTGGGAGCCGGTCTGGTACTTTTGTCGCGACGGTTCTGAGGCTCGCGGTTCGGTGATTGAGCCGTGGTTTTGGATTTTGCTGGGTTCCTCTGTCCACCGGTCTCCTTTTCAGGAGTGTGGAGCAGAGTGTTGCCGGGGTTCTCCGTGGGCACCACAGTGTTCGCCCCGGCGGTTTGACTGGCGAGGGCCTTGGTGAAGACCCCCTCGAGGGCTTTTAGGACGTCGGGGTGCTGCAACACCGCAGCGAAAGTTGGAACTGGGGGTACGGGGACGATCGGTCCCTGCTGAGCGCGACGGGAGGACTCCCCGCCGTTGCGGCGGCGAGACTGGGAGCCGGACTGCTGGGTGGAGTCGTCGTGTCCGGATGAAGGCATTTTGAAAGTGAAAAGGTGGAAAAGGATGAGTGCGATGTGTGTAGTTTCACAAGATCGAAAAATTGACACCAAGTAACTTATGGTGCCCTCCTTCTAGCGCCAAACTGTTGACGGACGTTTCCGGTCAACGGTTAAAAAGTCGAATAATGTAAAGAAAACGAAAAGAAGACTAGGAAATATGGTTTAATTACGGTTTTATTAATGGATCACGAGTTCGGCCTCTCGTACGAGGTCGGCACTTGCGATATGCTTATATTGCTTACAAGAGTTTCTTACAAGTTCCTTAGAAAGAGAAAATATGGGCTCGAGTAGTTGGGATTTCAACAACCCAAAAATAAATGAGGGGGTTGCTATTTATAGGAGACTTTAATGTCACACTGTTCGGATACTGTTCAGCGATCTTGTCGTACAGTAGCTCAATGGGACAAGCCGGCGCTTTTCTGACTGATTGGGAGTGATTTCCGGATTCTCTAATCATTGCCTGCCATACATTTAATGCGAACGTGGGCTGCATTAAATGCGGGCACGTTCTAGCTGAGTTGGACGTCCCATCGGCAATCATTCGTAGACAAGTGGCATTATTTTATTGTGTCCGACGTCGTACTTCTATCAGGAGCCGCCTTTGCGAGACTGGGAATAAGGTGCCGATCTCGTAGCCACATGGATTCGGTGCCGATCTCGGAACTGGTTCCCCCCACCGTCCCAGACGACTTTGACTCTCATTCAGCTCGGCACCCACGTGCGGTTTTGGTGACCGGCTCCTCCGGCTCGGACCGGCACCTACGTTGGGTCCGGGCTCGGATATCAACAAATATTAATATGTATTTCTTACCCGTGCATCGCACGGAATTTGTACTAGTTAAATAGATGATGTTATGTCCATAAATTACTCTTCAAAAGTAAATATCCAAACACGGTAAATGTCTGTACACGTGCCAAAAAAGGCAAAAAAACTTGCAAGAAAATGTCCAATAAACCTTGAACCAACATTGTATCAATGCTAATATTTATTTTTGTACTAAATCATAGTTTCAAATTGTATAAATGTCAATATTTATTTTTCAACGTCTTTTATTTCCCTACCACCCATCAACAGCCAACTGATATTCATCAATTATTTTTGTATCTGGTATTTTTATACGCTACCACCCAGAATATCACTCATTTTTGTATCTGGTATTTTCATACGTTACCACCCATATCTAGTATTTTTATTCGCTACCACCCATCAACAGCCAACTTATATTCATCAGTTATTTTTGTACCTGATATTTTTGTATAAGCTATTTTTCTAAGAGTGTTTTACCTAATTATATATTTTAATTAAAAATGAAAGAAATAAATAGGAGAAAAAAAATGATTCATCAAGTTTGAGAAGGCTTTCAGGTATAGAAAGACTTCCAAATCTTTTGTGTCTCTCTCATGTCACATCATCACCATATAGAAGTAAAAAACACACCATCGGAGATGCTCTAAGTTACCCAGACAATTGTCCAAAATGACCTAATGCAACCTTCCTTTTCATTTTATTCTAAATTTAATAACACAACATTCTTTTCAACAAAGCGTAAAAATACACGACCTATATTGTCTTAAAAATTTGTGAAAACAATAATTAAGTGAAGTTAATTAGAGCAATGATCCTTTAAAATAAGTACACTCCCTAGTTAAGCGAAGTTAATTAAGAAGCCTCATCATATATTGTAGTATTGTGAAAAAAGGGTCGCGAAAGAGGATGGCGGGGGCATGGTGGGAACCGGTGACGCGAAGGGAACAACAGAAATTAGAGTGGGCGGCGGTGAGGTAGTTGAGCGTAGACGGCTACCTTCATCAGGCGGCACAACTCTTTGAAGAATACCGTAGTATTGTTTTTTCAATTATCGAGTTGTTTTCATAAATATAAACATAGTCTAGATCTTTGTATTATCTTATTTTTCTAATTATAAATATGCGTATACAAATGTTTTTGTTATGTCTCTTAACTTGGTTGAAACTTATTTTTGTTATGTATTCTCTTATTGTGTATAATAACTTGTATATCTTTGCTTTACCTGTGGTTTATGCGTAGCTTATTGTTTTTATAATTGCCTAAAATTATTATACTAATGCTTTATGTGTGGTTTATAAAATGTCTATATCTACCTTATAGTCGTACTTTTTCATCCATGATATAATTAATCAACTTTTTTATTTATAGTATATGGAGATCTTTCATACCAAAAGGATATTATAATTGATGTATTAATTGTTTATCCATATTTTAAATTTACATATTCTTTCATCTTTCGGTTTATTACAATGTTTGTTTATTTTTTTCTAATATCATGTTATTAAAAAGTGAATCATTTTATTAATATTGTTTATGAAAAGAGAAATGCTATAGGTACATAATATTATACATAGTGGTGTACATAACACTCACATTAAGTGGGTCCTACCAAATATAAAAAATTAAGTGGACCGCACTCCATGTGAGTGTTATGTAAACCTCTATGTAAATTTATTATGTACTTGTAGCATTTTTCTTATGAAAATATGATTTAACGAAAGAAGAAATATAATAATATGATGTATCTAGATATGACGTATAAAAAAATTCAACAAATGATTGTAATTTAAAATTAAGATTATGCAATATTCAATATTCACCCACAACTTTTATGTCGGACGACCAATCATTCATATGCAATATTCAACCATGAGGAGTGTGATCCTCATGGTTAGCATGGTTATCGCTGGAGTTATTGGATGAGGACATAGTGACTAGGGGGTGATTGTTTATGGATTGGACTAGTTTTTATTTGGTTATTTTTTAACTATAGTTAATTTTGAAAAAATGTAGTATAGTTAGTTTAGTAGATATATTAAAATAATATTTGATTTGATGTAAAGTAGGAGAAAAATGATTGAAAGTGATAATTAGTTAGAACTATGTGAGTGGATGAATAGTGAATTAAAGTTGATGTGATGTATAAGAATTATTGGTTGATAATATTTAATTATATTGATAATATTGAGAATAGTGGAGTTGAGTTAAATTTAAGTTTTAATTGATTTTTTTACTATTGAATTCATATACAATCGCCTCCTACATTATTAATGTTTACTCGAATAGAGGTATATTTTCACGGGTTAAGATTCACGAAAACTCCAGTGTCTTTCATCCAGCGCTAATTTGTTTGACACTTGAAATCAACAAAGTCTTAATACGGATTTCGAACGAGTATGTAGGAGAAATTAATAGGTAACACGTTGAGTATAACGCAAATCATGAAGAGATTGGTAAGGAAAATGACATTTGTATTTATTGCAATAATGAGTACTTCTATATTATATTAAACAATGTGTATTTCTCATATTTTTTTTCTCTTTTAAGGAGTTCACAATTTAAAGCGAGTTAAAAAGTAAAAATCCTCATGATATAATAATAAAAAAAAAAAATAGTTATTACTATATCATAAAAAATATTTAACCCGATAAAGTCACTCATCAACAAAATCAGATATAGATTAATATCAAAATAACAGCTAAAAAATAACAATGATAAGATTATCCTAAACACAAACCGATCAACGACTCAATAACCCCCAATCTCAAACCATGCACTTGACCTTCCTCCCCACTTACCCTCTCCTCCTCGCACAACCACAGCCTTCTCAAATACAAATCCAGACCACTTTCACATCAAATGCTCCTCCTTACACACCTAATTAGCAAGAACCTCCCATATCAACTCCGGGTCGATCGACGGCAGCCGAGCAAGCGAGCACCACGACTCCTCCGGCGAGCTCCCTCCCCCGCCATCCGACCCACTGCTCCCACTCTCCAGGGGCGAATCCGTCTTTTCCACAACTATCCCGGGCCGGGCCCCCTCTTCGCCCTCGGCCCGCTTCACGGCCCGTCGGGCCCTCCTCTCCCGCCTCACCCTCTGGCAGATGGCCTGAATCTTGGCATCCACCGCGTCCCTCAGGGCCTCAACCCGGGCCGGGTCCCCGAGCCCCACCCGGGCTGGGTCCCGCAGGTTCGGGAAGTTGAGCCGAGCGTACTCCCCACGGAGCTTGTAGGCCGCCCGGTCGTACGCGTAGGCAGCGGCCTCGGCCGAGTCGTAGGTCCCGAGCCAGACCCTGGTCCGGTTCTGGGGGAGCCTGATCTCGGCCACCCATTTCCCCCAGTGCCGCTGGCGGACCCCACGGTAGAGCTTCCGCTTGCTTGGGCTGAAATAGGTCGGCGTGATTGGGCCAGGCTGCTGGGCTGGGATTGGGCTCGGAAATGGGCCTCTTGTGATGGATTGGTTTTGGGTTGAGAGTGTCTGGATTAATAAATCTCTCTGCCTCAGGTAGACGGAGGTGCCGAGTGGGACATGGTTCGAAGGCTGATGGCAGTAGGAGAAGATTGAGTCGAGCGTGTTTGAGTTGCTGGATAGGATTAGCTGGGATAGGGATAGCCCGATGAAGTTGTTTTCTTCAACTATGGCCAT